AATCTGAAACATTTTTTTAAAAAAGGTTACATCTGCTCTTCTGCATAGATATGCCACTTCTTGCAGGAAAATGTTCAGCCCCTTCAAGTTTGAGATTATAGTAAAAGCCATTCTGGCCCTCTTCTTATAGGCCCTGATTAATGGTATAACTGTTACCGGTAGAGGGTCTTGACTGCAATTTGTCCAGGTTCTTGACGTTTTGAATAAAGAATTGCACAAAATGCACAGCAAAGCGAGGAAAGAATGAAGCAATGAAAGCAGAGATTTATTGAAAATGATAGTACATTCTACAATGTGGGAGCGGCCCGAGCAGTGGCTCAAGAGCCCTGGATAAGGAATCTTCTGGGGTCCAAGCACCTCCCAGAGGTTTCCCATTGGCTACTTGGTGTTCACCCTGTGCAAATGGTGGCCCACAATCAGTATGATTAGTTGGGAAAGCAGCTGGTCAGAGACAAGTGAAGTTACAAAGTTACACTCCTATGCAACCAATCAGAGGTACTTTCAGTTTTCCATCTGCTGCACAGAAAAGTGGGGATTTGCAAAGGGAGTAGCTTCTGGTTCTTTTGCTACTTAGGCATGGAAAGTTGGGATTTCCCTATTAATTTAGTTGTAGGAAGTCAGGGTGAATTGGTCTTGGTTTCCTGCCTCCAAACCCTATTCTCCTGCCTCATAACCACTCACCTAGACTAATGTTTCCCACCTGGTGGGGGACCTTTACCCCTTAGGGCAGTGGTCCCCAACTGTTTTGGCATCAGGGACCCATTTCGTGGAAGACAATTTTTCAACCAGACTGGGGTGGGGGTGGCAGGGGTGGGGTTGTTTTCCAGTTGAAACTGTGCCACCCCAGATCATCAGTCACTAGATTCTCATAAGAAGCCTGCAATCTATAGATCCCCCATGTGCACAGTTCACAATAGCATTCCCTGCTCCTGTGAGAACCTTATACCACGGCTGATCTGACAGGAGGTGGAGCTCAGGCAGTAATGCTTGCTTGCCCCCTCTTGGTTCCTGGTGGGCCACGGACCAGTCCTGGTCTGCAGCCAGGGGACTGGGGACATTAGCAATGTCTAGAAATATTTTTGATTGTCATGACCAGGGTTGGGGTGCCACTAGCATTCTGTAGGTAGAAGGTAGGGATGTTGCTAAGCATCCTACAATACACAGGACTGCAGCCACATAAAGAAGTATCCTGTCCAAAATGTCAATAGTGCCCATGTTGGGACAGACCAGATTTGGGATTATCTGTAAGTCCTTTCTCTCTCACCATTAACTCTTCCATCCCTCTCCTTGATCCATTTGCTTTCTTTTATTATTTTAGGTTTTTGTTGTTGTTGTTTTATTTGTTTTTGAGACTGGAGTGCAGTGGTGCGATCTAAGCTCACTACAACCTCTGCCTCCTGGGTTCAAGCGATTCTTATTCCCCAGCCTCCTGAGTAGCCGGAATTATAGGCGTGTGCCACCACACCGGGCTAATTTTTGTATTTTTAATAGAGACAGGGTTTAGCCATGTTGGTCTTGAATTCCTGACCTCAAGTGATCCGCCTACCTCCGCCTCCCAAAATGCTGGGATTATAGGGGTGAGCCACCGCACCCAGCCTAGTTTTATTTTTTTGAGACAGGGTTTCACTCTGTCATCCAGTCTGGAATGCAATGGCGTTATCATACCCCATTGCAAACTTGAACTTCTGGCCTCAAGGGATCCTCCCGCCTCAGTCTGTCAAGTAGCTGTGTCTACAGGCACCTGCCACTGCAGCTGGCTTTTTAAAATTTTTGTAGAGACAAGGTCTCAAATATTTTAATGGGGTCCTGCTTTGTTGCCCGGGCTGGTCTCAAACTCCAGGACTGAAGCAACCCATCTCAGCTGGGATTACAGGCGTGAGCCACCACACGCAGCCATTTGCTTTCTTTCAGTTGCCAAATCCTGGGTTTCAGTCTCTAACTCTCCTTTTCACACCACCATCACTCTAATTCAGACCCTTATCAATTCTCATCTACCACTGCAGTAGCCTAATTGATTTTCCTATTTTCTTGTCTCCTTCCTTTGATACACCAGTTGATACTTCCAATTTAAAAACTGTTAGGTCTCTGAAGGTAGCTTCCCAGTTGGGCTCTATCAACATTTCAGCCTTCTTTTCCCATATTTCAAACCTGTAAACAGTGCTATAACTAACATGGACTATGTCAACGTTTGTCAAATGGAAGAAGTATTTCTGACTCTCCTTACTACTTTCTTTGTTCATCTTTACCTGTTTCCAAGTCCTACTCATTCTTTAAGGTCCTTAAAATTGTCCCCACTCTTTACAGCTTTCCTTGAAATTACCCCAAACCAATCTCTCCTCAAACTCCTGTGATACCTTCCTCATTTCTTTGTTAACCGCACTCTGCCTTCTCATTAAGTTAGTCATACCTCCACCTCACATTACAAATTCTTTCAAGCTTGGGACTGTTTTCCTCATCTTAACAAAACGTGTTAAAGCATGTTTTGGTTCCTCGTTCAGTGCTTTACACATTTATTATTCAAGAAATGTATTAAACTAAGATATTAAACTAAGAGTTTCTAACAGTTTTGAACAATCTCTGGCTTCATGTTACTATTTTATATATCTAATATTGGGACTTTTTCCTATTAAGTAAAAAACAAAAATGAAGTTCATAATGTCCAAATAGTTCAAAGATGGTAACACTGATAAATATAATAGGATGTTTAAAAAAAAAACGTTAATAGAATTTTTCTTGTGTTTCCTTGTAGCGTCTATTTTGTATTACGGTTTGTAATGGGCTTTCTAAGATATTTTTTTCTTTTTACTCTCTAAGCAAGTGAATCTTGCTTTGTATTTACTTCTGATGCCGTTCACTTGACATTGGTCTAAGAGGTTTCTAGTCCAAGGCACAGAAGCATTTATGCTGAAAAATAGATCATTATACTTTTGTTAGTAGCAAGTACATGAGTAACAAACATGACAAAGCCCTGGAGAGGGATAATGCTTACCTCTGTGTAAACCTAAGCATCAACAGGAGTGGTATGCAGCACTTCCTTCACAGTTCTTTAAGAACCCTTGGGTGGAATACTAATTAGGGATTCAGTGCCATAAAGCTTGGAAAGATCTAAGGAACTAGAGAGAAGAAAGTGTTGAAACAGTGAATCCCTTTTAAGATAGTTATCATGAAATGATTTAGAGAATTTCTGCAAGTAGGTGAGAGCAACTGAGTATTTTTCCAGCTGCTTAAATTTTATAGAGAAACCCAGGAGACTAAAATTACCTCAGCTGTCTTTGTGGGGAGGGGAGTACAGGGAAGGTGTACTTTACCATAGTGCTAGAAAAATCCAGAGGAATTCTAAAGGGCCATTCTTTGCAAAGACAAAATTCAAGATAAGAGTTATACTTAAATAAAGATTATAAATACCTGTACATGTGATCTAGGAGACTGGAAGACTATAAATTCTAACATTTAGAATGTCATTGATCTCATGAGTTTTAATGTTCAGCAACAGTAAGAGCTGATTTTTTTTTTTTTTTTTTTTTTTGAGATAGTGTCTTGCTCTGTTGTCCAGGATGGGAGAGCAGTGGCGGGATCGTGGCTCACTGCAGCCTTTACCTCCCAGGCTCAGGCAATCCTCCCATCTCAGCCTCCTGAGTAGCTGAGACTAACTAGAGATGCACATCACCATGCCTGGCTAATTTTTAAATTTTTGGTAAAGGCGGGGGTCCACTTATGTTGCCTAGTATTGGTCTCAAACTCCTGGGCTCAAGCCATCCACCTACCTCAGCCTCCTAAAGTGCTAGGATTACAGGCATGAGCCACTTTACCCAGCTGAATTTGTAAATCTTTGTTGCACTTATTTAAATTGATGTGACAAAAGGGGCCTAAACAGTTTCCTTGCGTGTAATAAATACTACTTCTTTGCGCAACCTATCTTGGATAAGTGAGGTACTAAAAACAAAACCAAAAAAAGTGAAGCATTAATGAACTACATCTACAAAGGAAATATTAACTAATCACACCTTCAAAGGAAGAGTGCTCTAAATCCGAGGTAGTGTTAATTAACATTTTCATAACTAGTCCAGACTATCCTGTCTTCTTGTGATTAAAATTGTATTTGCTCAGCAAGCTTCCAGGCCTACCCACTAGACTTTGACGGAAAGTGAGCAGTACTGTACTGACATCTGCCTCTGCCCCACCCTTAATTCTGACATCAGAAAGCACTTCACAAGAAGCTCCTTGGAATCACTGCAGACAGGGTGAAAAGGAAATTCACCAGGAGGTTATTCCAAAGACATGTTAGCTTTCAGCATATCAACAGATTGTTGAAGGAGAATGGTGCCAACAGACCCTGCTAGCAAAAAGAAATATGAAATGTGTTCTATTTTAAGAAAAAAATCAGGCCCATTAAAGACAAGTCATCGTACATTCTCCATACTCGCAATGGGACATACTTAGACTAAAAAAAAATTATTTGACATTTCTCCGAAATTCAAATTAAATTGGGCATCTAATGTTTTTATTTGCTAAATCTGTCAACCTTATCTATATTCATTCAAGAAAGGACTATATTTTCCTGACCACAAAGAAGTATAAAATACACTATTGCTGGTGTTAATAGAAATGGTTATATCAAATCCTTTCCACCAATTCAAATTTATTTTATATTTATAATAGGACAGTGGCAATCCATGATAGAATTATGTTGCTTTCTGTGAAGTTAAGAGAATATAATTTTTTGAATTTTAGTAAAAAACTACGCATACCACTGTACATTTCTTACCTATGAACTTCCATTATTGCTAAAGTAAGTTGATATGAGCTCAGTTAAACACCCACTATGACACGTACCTCACTTAACTTAGGCCCGGAGCAATCACTGCTGCCCTTGATAAGGGCAGCACTGGCTGAATTTACACATGGTTATGAGTTTGGCATACCAACTTTCTATATTTCAGGGCCTCTGAAATCAAGGACTTCTGAATGAGACACCAGTCTCTTTCACATATTACATTAAAATGTCAAAGCAATATTATTCCTTTAAAAAAGAGGTAGCAGGTGAACTGGAAGATAATACATTTTTGACATTATGGGACTTTCTAGAGTCCTGGATTATTCAAAATGATTGGATGGCAATTTTCTTTATAATTTTCCTAGGAATTATTTTTGAGATAATATTCATGAAAACTTGTGCATACTTTTGGAAGAATCCCACACTTCCTGAAGAGGGTAGCTCAGATGTCCAGGAGGTAAGAACAACTGGTTTCCCTTTCCCTGTTTTTCAAAATCACACATAAGAATAATTTTAGAATTTCTGAACTTTGATACCAGGATTACTCCTCTAACAATTTTTTCCATTAAAATAGAGGGAAGACAGTTGCCTGAAGAGCATGGCATTTGGTAAATATTATACAACTTCATATTTTAATATAAAACTTGTTTAACCTGAGCTTTTTTCATTGATATTGTCACTTTTTTATTCCTACTCAGCTCCAGAGAATTCGTCAGTTATTAACTCATCTTCGGAAGAAAGGTAGGTGATATATTACATATATATTTTGAAGCTAAATGAAATAGGTTGGTTGTGTTCTATTCAAAATTGCCTTTACTTCTGATTTTCAGAGAAGGGCTTTCCTAGCTGTTCAACATCGTGATTCAGTCTAACATTTACTTTAAATGGTTGCTATGCTCCAAGCTGCGTTAAGGGCTTTTTGTATATTATTGAGATTATCCTCCAAGGAAGATAGTATTATTATTGTTTTTACAGATGAGGAAAATAAGGCTTGAAGAGGATCAGTGGCTTGCTTTCCTACTGTAACTCTCTCTCCAACACATCCGTTCTTACAATTCAATTGAAAAGACATTTGTGTAGCACTTACTGTGGACCAAGAAAACACTGAGCTAGGGGCTGCATGAGTGATATGAAAGGAGTTTGTAAAATCAGAATTTATCAGAATTGGCAAGTTCTCTCAGTGCTAGGGATTAAATACTGACATAATCACTACTCTAGTTGCTATAAATATTTCAGTTGTTTTAATTGAAATCCATTCAACAATTATTAGGTATCTACTATATAGTGGACTCTGACCCTGGGATTCAAACCATAAGATAGTCTTTGTTCTCAAGAGGCTTATATTCTTGTGGAGATGTGTACGTAAAGGTTAATTGCCTTGCGATATGGTGACATCGCGACAGAAATATTAGAACATTTAGGAGATACCTAAGTCAGCCTAGGGTGTTGGGAATGGCTTCACAAAGAATGTTATGCTGGAGCTGAGTTTTAAAGGATGAATGAACATTAGCCCAAAAAGGAAACATGTTTAGGAGGATAAGAAAGACATTCCAGGACATGAGCAGGAAACAGCAGCAATGTGCAAGAAATTACTATTATTTCAGAGTTGCTGGAATGTTAAAGTTGAATTAGAAAGTGGTGGAAGATGAATGTGAAGAGGTAGGTAGGAGTCAGGTCGTGGAGGGCTTTCTACACCATATGTCAAAGTCTGGATTCAGTTCTGCAGATAATAACCACTAGCGGTGGTTATACATAAGAGTGGCACGGTTTTGTGTTTCAGTTAGATCACTAGTCACTTGTGTGGCTGGTCGCTGTGGGAATCAGAGGATTACTTGATCTACATCTAATTTCTTTCATTTGTCAGGTATAAAAGGGCTTTATTCATTTAATCTGGTTATGATATTTTCGTATTCGGAACTAGGAACTCTCGTTCTCAGGGAAGCTGTAACAATGTCCAGAGGCATGAGCAGGAAGAACCCTTGTCAGGCCTGGTTGGGAACAGGAATGCCAGCGCAAGCTACAGCAAGTCGGTAGTGCAGACAGCGTTAGGTCCAACTGGACAGACCAAGAGTCAGCATTTGAGATATTACAGCGGTTAGGTGCACGTGGTGACCTGTTTCCTTTTTGGGCTAATGTTCACATGTAATTCAGAACCAGAACATTAACAGGTAAGAAGAATTCACAAGAAGAAATGGAGTAAAAAAGGATTTTCAGCTTCAGAATCTGAAGAAACTCCTGTCCTTTCTGAGGTAAGAAGTTCGAGACCAGCCTGGCCAACATGATGGAAGCCCGTCTCTACTAGTAATATAAAAAATTAGTGGGCATGATGGTGGGTGCCTGTAATATCAGCTACTATGGAGGCTAAAGCAGAAGAATCGCTTGAATCTGGGAAGCAAATGTCTCAGTGAGCTAAGATCGTGCCATTGCATGCCAGCCTTGGCAACAATAGCAAAACTCTGTCTCAAAAAAAAAAAAAAGAGAGAGAGACAGAACTTTTCTCGAAGTGTCCTCCAGAAAGGACACGTTAAAGATTTTCCATCCCTGTGCCCTATTATTCCCATCCTGCCTAGACAGGAGTTAATCCACATGGCTCCTGTGGCACCAGCATATTATGATGAAAAAACACAAATTTTGAATTTAAAACAGGTCTAGCTTTATATCATTGTTCTGCCTCTTTTTTTTTTTTTTTTTTTTTTTTTTTTTTTTTTTTTTTTTTTTTAACAGTCTGTGCCAGTTACTTTTGTCCCTTTTTTTTGTTATGCATAGGCAGATAATTATTTAATCTATGAATTTAATTTCAGGAAAGTAAAGAAATATTAGAAAATTATAAACATTTTTTTTTTTTTTTTT